CCTCGATCTTTTGACTAGTATAACGGCCAGTCTCAATTCTCAGGGGTAGAATACCACACCTGAACTGGGCTAAATGTGATCTTTCAACTTTGCTAAGAATGGTGGTGACGTAAGTCTCTGTACTAAATGTATCTTTAAATTTGGTGTACGTTCGAAGTTTGGAGACAGATTTTATTTCGGTCGACCAGTCATTTGAGTAGTTATTAATAAGTTTTTGTTCTATTTCTTTTATATTACATTGTTGTTTGTTACTGAAAATGTGACCCATTTGAACACTATTGAACACGGATTTTACTTCGGAGCACCAGTTCCCATTTTCGTTATTATAATCAGCTTCGAACACATCTTTAATTAAACGATCAGACCTCATTGATACAAGATTGTTCCACAACTTCACCATATTGGTCCATCGTCGTATAAAGCATGGTGTCCAACCTATATCGCCATTATAGGCCACCTTAGGCGCAAACCTGTGGAGTCCAAAGAAATAACGTATTGCTCGGTTTTGTGTTTGATCAATCTTGTCAAATTGTTTGAATCCCCAAACACCAGAGCAATAATCAGTTATAGGAACAACACAACTTTCATACAGTTTTTCATATGTTTTAAAGCTTATTGTTTTATAAGAATGTATTTTTAGAAATGACAGCCCCCATGGCGCGACTTACAGATTGCGAAAGTATTGTGGCACAGTTTTCAAAGTTTAACTGTTCATCCAATGTTATTCCTACGTATTTATAAGAAGAGGCATACTCTATATTTTGTGTACCGAATTGAAATTGGGACGTACTCTTTGGTTTCCTTTTTGGTCTAAAATGAACTATATTTGTTTTAGAGTTATTAATGGACAACCTCCACTTTTTACACCACTCAGCTGTATAATCGAGCATCGTTTGTAGATCCGATTCCGTGGGTGCTAGCAAAATAATATCATCGGCATAGAGTAAAACACAAACTTTTCGACCACCAATATCAATGCCTTTATTAAGCTCGTTTAGACCTCTTGCCAAATCGTTAATGTACAAATTAAATAATGTTGGCGATAAATTATCACCTTGACGAACTCCAGATGAACAGGGAAACGAAACTGATGTCTGACTATTTATCCTCACATATGCTGAGGTGTTTGTGTACATAGATTTAATCGAATTGTAGAAATTACCGTCAACATTATTAATAAGGAGCTTATAGAACAACGACTCTCTGTCAATACAATCAAAAGCTTATTGAAAATCAATGAATGCGGAAAACGAATGCTGTTTATTTAATATCCGTGTTCGAACGATAGAGTTCGTTACGAATACATGATCTAGACACGACCGGTGTGGTCTGAAACCGTTTTGTTCTTCGACTATAACATTATTGTCCTCGAGAAAAGATACAAGACGTATATTTAAGAGAGACGAATACAGTTTGCTTACACATGATAAAAGGTTTATGCTTCGATAGTTTGTTGGAATGCGGGGGTCCTTTGACGAGTCCTTCGGGATGGGGGATAATATCGCTGTCTTCCATGCGGATGGGACATATCCTGTGTTTAGACATAGTTGAAATAGGCGGAGTAGAACATTTTTAACACGTGCGTACCTCAATACTTCATACGGTAGTTTGTCGTTTCCACATGATTTTCCATTTTTAGCTTTTATTATAACAATATCTAGTTCATTCGTAGTGATGTCACTGTTAAGATGATCATTAGAATGAAATGAGTCATCCTGCATACGGCGTTCTAATTCACATTTTATTTTGACGACTTGCTCATGGAAATCACTATTGAATTCACTATTTGTTGAGGGGCTGTATACTTTTGAGAAATCAGAGGCCCATTTATTCAAAACTTCATCTTTATCAAAAATGATATCACCGTTGTCATTATAGATTTCGAAGGGTATTGACTTACTCCTTTTAGGTCCAAGTTTCTTAAGATGATCCCAAATTTTTTTAGGATTTTCGATACATGTTGCATCTATTTCGATCATAAGATTTTGTTTATATAATCGCTCTGTTCGCCTTAAAGTGCGATCAAATATTTGTTGAGCAGCTTTGAACTTTTCACGTAGTATGTTTCGTTCTGATTTGGGTCCTTTGAACTTCACAAACTGTCTCTCATTGTGCTGGAGACCTTTCCACAGAGAAGTTAATTCGTTATTCCAAAAGGGTTTATTGTTCTTATATCGTTTCTTGGTACGCTTGGAACAGTCGAATTTGGGTATATGTTTGTCCATTTCAAAGTACATTGTTTCACAAAACCGGGAATATGTACTGTCCAAATCATCTTGTGTTTGTATATAGTTTTCAATATGTTCAATAATATCAAGAAATGCCAACCGTGAGGACTCGGATTCTAAAAAATAAGGCGATATTTGTTTCAGTTTAAACCTTTTGTCTTTGCGAAAATTAGTATGCGTCGTTGATATATGGTCTGTGAGTTCTATTTCAGGTGTTAATTGATAGTCAAATTGCAGCAAGTAATGGTCTGGTAGTCGTGACCTTGAGTTTAGTAGTGATGTTAACAGTTCACCTTTAACAATAGATTCAGGGGAAGTAATTTTAAAATTATAACACTTTTTAAGACAATCGTGAGCGACACAAATGTAATCAACGACTGCTTTACCTTTTGCGCTCACCGAAGTGAACCCACTACTATCCCGTGGTTCTCCAAAACGACCATTTAAAACGCAAAATTTAGCGTCAGATAAAAATTCTAAAAATGCTCGTCCATGCTGATTTACTACTTTGTCTGCATGCTGTCTGGGTGGAATGTCTGTATCGATATTCAAAATACTGTCACTACATTCCCCTATCCTTGCATTTAAATCACCGCATAAAAATACATCCGATTCTGAGAACAAGTATATCTGCGTCAGAAGGTGAGCGAAGAAATCACTAACATTTCGTCCCCAGCGTGAGTTTTCAGGAGGTAAATAAGCACTAAATACGACAAGCTTATGTTCAATGCATTTGCTGTCAAAAGATAATCCGAGAATCCCTTCAAAAGTCATGTCAACTACCGTTATTTTGAAATGATTAAATAGACGTTTATGTACAAATATTGATGAACAATACGTAAGGAATTGTGAGCAGGATTTTGCTTTAAACATAGATTATAGAATGACATTTAATTTGGCATTGGCATTCTCTAGAGTAAATGTTAAAAACATTTAATTTTAATTCTATCTTATTTGACAGACACAAAATTGACAAAATTTTAAAAAAACAACCCCAAAAAACAAAAAACCTAAGAGTTATGAAATTGTTTTTACAAAGACGATGTGTAATATAGCAATGTTGACTTTTACACCCGTTACACTGGTCGTTCCAGATTTTAATAATGCACCAATAACGGTATATGGTCTGTTAATTGTCTTTGATATGTTGACTTTAACATTAGCTGCACAAATCATTTCCAATTTTACAGGATTTTTTCAAAATAAATAAATGTTCATAAAATGTCAGACTACTTTAAAGGAGCTAAATCTTTATTCTTTGGAACCTAAGCGGGACAAAATGGGCCTAAAAGCACTTACTAATGTAATATGAACGTATATAAAGTGATTTACATTCAAGTTTTAATTTTTATACGCCCACATGGAATATTATACCGTCGCCCGTGTCCGTCCGCCCACAATTTGTTTGTGGACACGCTACAGATCACAAAATGTTTTATCCGATTTTGACGAAACTTGAAATATAGGTCTATCTCCCAACGATCTCGGTCCCTTTCGATATTGACATGTATCGGACAATAACTTCATGGATTATGGCCACAGTTTATACGAAAAATCACGTTTTTAGCTTGTGGACACTCTAAGGGTCACAATATTCATCTGATTTTAATAAAACTTAAAATGCATGTTTATAACTCAAAAGATTTTGGTTCCTTTCGATATTATTGAACTTATTGAAATGGACCAATATTGAATTCTAGTTCGTTTTTTTTTAATTCGAATATTATGGGTTAGCTCCTTTTAAACTAATTACACAGATCGTTTCAGATTTTAAATAAAAACACCAATAACAGCACATATAATGGGCTGTAAATCGACCTAAAACATGGTCAACTGTCTTTGCAATGTTGACTGTAACATTAGCTGCACAAATCCTTTCCAATTTAAGAGGTGTTTTCAACATAAATCAATCATCATAAAATGCCATGCTATTTTTAGGTCATTTTTTCTCAGTGTAGAGAGTTGGGTCGAAAATCTCTATTGTAATTCAATATAATTCCTCATCAATCCTAAAGAACTGGCTCTCATCCTACACCCCATTGATCTCAATCTAAAACCGTGCCATTACCATTTTTTTGGTCACCCCGGTGATCTTAACGGGGTGGCTGAATGGTTTAACGCGTGCGCCATAAATCACAAGGTCTGTCATTGAGTCAAGTGGCGTGGTGTCGACTCCCCGCTTGTACGCGAGAACGAGTAGGGTTGCCTGTCCATCCCATGGGTTTTCTCCGGGTCCTGCAGCCCCCACCCTCATGCTAAAGATCCCAACGCGCAAGTGATTTCATGAAATAAAATTGAATCGAAATGATAGTGCTACAATGACCTAGTTTGTATCGAGTAGACGTTAAAGTCTCTCTCTTTCGCTCTCTCCGATGTTCCTGGTCTGAACAAATGAACAGAACTCAACGCAAGTGATTTCATGAAATAAAATTGAATCGAAAAGATAGTGCTACAATGACCTAGTTTGTATCGAGTAGACGTTAAAGTCTCTCTTTCTCGCATTCCTCCGATGTTCCAGATCTGAACAAATGAACAGAACTCAAAATATCACAAATATCTGAAGGGGGTTAACTGTTGCGATTTGCATATCGAGTTAAATCATTTCATATTAAAGAGGAATAACCGAAATTTCAGAAATTTGAATATAACATTTAAAAGTTTATAATATGTTAAATTATATTATCGGTGTCTTCTTTGATATAAAATATTGAGAGCAAAAGATAAAATAAAATAAGTAAATAAAAATATAAAAGGAAAATATTAGGGGTTAACCTGAGAGTCAACATCGGTCAACACATGTATATATGTACTTGAAATCTGTAAGAATGATGACGTCAACTAACCTTTCTGTGTTTATGGCAGCACCTGTTGAAAAAATAATTATTCAATGTTTCAATAAAAACTAGCGTCAACTTATCAACAACAAACTGCATCATTTTATCAATTGTATCATTAACAATTTACTAACAAAATATTTGAATTTGTTAACAAAATATATCAATTTATTAACAAAATATATGAAGTTGTTAACAAAACATATGAATGTGTTAACAAAACATATGAATGTGTTAACAAAATACATGAAATTGTTAACAAAATACATGAATTTGTTAACAAAATACATGAATTTGTTAACAAAATATATGGGTTTGTTAACATATATATGGGTTTACTAACAAAATATATGGATTTTAACAAAATATATGGATTGGTTAACATGATATATGAACTTGTTAAAATATATATGGGGTTGCTAACAAAATATATGGATTTTAAATAAATATATGGATTGGTTAACATGATATATGATCTTGTTAACATATATATGGGGTTGCTAACAAAATATATGGATTTTAAAGAAATATATGGATTGGTTAACATGATATATGAATTTGTTAACAAAATATATGGATTTGTTAACAAAATATATGGATTTGTTAACAAAGTATATTAATATATTAATTATCTAAAGTTGTTATGAAAACTGGCAATCTAAATATCTAACATTTGATATTTTGGCCTTTTACTAGTAAATAGATACACAAGAGAATGGCAAGGGCAGAGATATACATAAGGTCGTGCACAACAAGCGCGTTGGCCTCAGTTAAAGTTTAATAATTATATCGGGACTAGTTTTAAAGAGCTAAACCCAAGTTTTAGATCAAAGTAAAGTGTTGATTAAGGTGACCCGGGGCCACATTTCGATTGGTTTTAGTTCCATTTTTGGGATGCAAAATTTAGAACCTAATTGTAATCAAACCAAACTAATCAATAGATAAAATTCAATGTCATCGACAGTTTTAGTTTTAACTGAGATCACTGATGACTGATGTGATCGATACGTCGTCAAGTTCACAACACTAAGGCAAATACCAGCACATACGATGAATATCGATTGGATGTCAATAATATATTATTTTATAAAATGGATTCCATATATGTTTTCATATATACTGCGCCATGCGGGCATTGTGTGGTGGGACTTGTTCTAAATAAATCATTACATTAACCACATATCCCAGTAAGACAAATACATGTACAATACATTAAATGCCTCCTTTGCATTCCTAATAAGCGAACTAACTGACATTACCGAAAGAACTGCAGATGCCTGTTCTTGATGATTAACCTCGATGATCCACGACGTTAAGAGCTACATTTGTATAAAGGGTAACCTACTCTGTGATAAACATTGTAGAAAATCAAGATGGCCCTGCATTAAAAGTTTCTTTGATCCAAGAAACGTCTCTAGGCAGGTACATATAAATCTAACGATCGATCAACAGTGATTTTTGAAGTTTTATCAAATTACATAAGAAATCATACCTTCTGAGAATCTCAATGGTCTTTCCTTAACACAACACAGTTTACACGCTGTTCTGAATTCTCTCCGAAATGTACCTATAATGAAATTGTCAAGGAGATAAACGAGATATAATAAACGCAAATGACAACACATTATCTTTTATTGGAAAAGAACATCATGAACAATTTCCATATTCCATTAAATTCAAATATTTTCTCGTGTTTATAGCTACTATAGATGTCTAGATGATGTGACATTAGCCATGACTACGCTTTATCTGGATGTAACGATCTTACAATGAAAACCGTACATGTCCGATCTAATATACTATTTTCAGTGCTTATTCCGCAAAATTAACTTTGTCATTGATTCACAACGTAGACACGGTTTGCAATGTTTACTAAGTTCTTTGAGGTGTCACTTTTTGTATCATAAACGTGAGTTTTATTACTATTATATAAAAACCGCCATTGCTAAATTTATGCTTGACAGAACTTACAACATTTAAGCATTATGAAACTCTGCTGAAATCCATTCGACCAAAAATGTTAGATTTGATCAAATATAACATATGGATTGCTGTTATTCACACCGAGTAATCAAAGGGCTCTTTCTGAAAATGGTATAATTAAACGGGCACATCCACAACCATTTGAACTGCAAAGTCGGCATGTCGTACAAGCAGGGAAACTGTCGTTGGCGTTGTGGCTCTTGTGGAGTTAAGCGATGGTCGTTCGATAAATCAAGAAGTTTTAAAGTGGGGAGCCGATGCAGATAGAGGCCCATGTATGAGCCCCAATCAAAACTGGACACAATGGTTTCGATTATGCCTATTGAAAAGTTCCGTAAAACGGTCACTAGCATTTTCGTTTACAGAGTTTTATGTAAAGATTTAAAACAATTCTCGTATCCAGGGTGGAGCCGTGGTCAGTAAGGCTCTGACTGTTCAACTAGACCTCTGATTCGCTCCCGGGTTGGCCGAAATTTTTGTTGCCTTGTCAGAGGTGCATGACTAAGGGCCTGGCAAGGAACAGCATCTAGTTGTTCAGGTGAGGAAACAAATCCCGAGGTGCTTTGCACACATTAGCGTGCACGTTAAAGAGTCATTGACAGTAAGAGTAGGCAGTCTAGTGCTGCTGCCCGGGCGCAATAGTAGTAGTAGAAGGTGTAACTGATGGTTTAACGTATAAATGTCGCAACTAACATACTATTTTCAGCGACTGTTCCACAAAATTAACTTTTTCATCGATTCGCAATTTATGCAAACCACAGTCGACTAGTAAGTTCTTTGAGGTGTTGATTCTTGTGTATCATAAACATGAGTTTTATTATTATTATATAAAACCCGCCATTGATAAATTCATGCGTGACAGAACCCACAACCTTACATTATTAACCACAAATGTTAGAATTTATCAAATATAATATATGGATTGCTGTTATTCACACCGAATAATCAAAGAGCTCTTTCGGGAAAGGGTACAATTAAAAGGGCACATCCAAGACCATTTCCACGAATCGTGAGAAATTTAATTGTAAGCTGCACAATTTGCAAAGTGGGCATGCGAGACGTTTTTATTTTTATTTCTTTAATGCGGGGAACCGATGTCCTAATCAAAATAGTTTCGATTAAGTCGATAAAAACGTGGCGTAAAATGTAACTTGCCGTAAATATTGAGTAAAGTTGTTCCATTCAGATACTTTTATGTTTGACACACGTCGATTAGAAAGGGCGGTCAAATCAGTGTCGGATCCAGGTGGGGGACCCTTTGGCCCCTCCCTCCCCAATGATATAATACAAAAAATTCATTTATAATTTCGTTTCTATAACATCTAAATTTGAGCTTTTTGATGATTGGTCTGATGGAATTAAATGTTATATTCGGGTCAATGCACCTCAAATCACCACTGATTTATCTAGATTTCATCAGAAGAAGTTCCTCGCCCTAATCAAATACCATGTATCCGCCACAGGATATAGTTTTACCGTTAGACATAGCACTCTAGTCGATGTGACAGGTCGATGGTGAAAAAGATCATGTCATGTAGTAATTGGCAGCTGCTGTTTAATGGAATCAACTATCAGTTTCTAAACATGAACTTCCATTGTTATTTTCATGAATTTGAAATAGTCTGAATACGTACGCTAAATACGTGTATAAACATATATTTCTCTTCACTATTTTTTGTCGCGCACTGGGATGCGTTCTCGTGACAGCAGTTCGTTATCGGAATTTGACACACAAGGAAAGGACACTTGTACTCGTTATATAAGCATTTCAAGTATTGTTACTCAGCGAGTATTTGTTTATAATCCGCTGAACAAAATAGAATCGATCAATTTAGCCAGTAATTCCAGTACAGATTGTAAACGTTAAACAAACTGCTTTGTGTTAGTATAAATAATTGGAAAGAGGGTGTAAATTGATGATCGTGTGCTGTGCAGTAAATAGTTAATTTACACCATGCGATTAATATCTTATGTGATATCCTCTACATTTCTGTTTCATTACCATGTAAACAATCTCTGTTATTATCAGTCTAGACGATTAACGTGCCTATTATTCGGTTCCTGACAATCGACTTAATCAGATGGTCAAACTACAAGTATGTACTCAGCCCCAATGTATCATTGTTTCCAAAGTTGCCTTAGGTTATTGTTCTTGTAAAGTTCATGGCAAAGTGTAGGGTGAATGCGTAGTTACTTTTTTTGCTATTTATCAACGATGTTTGATATTTAACTATATAGACCACTTTTAAACTTGAAAGAAGTTTCAATGACACTTGCGTCCAAGGCAAAATTTAAGACAGATTAAATAGACGATATTCTTACAGAATTTAAGACCATGCGCAGTCTGAAAACATCTCAGTTACGAAATTGTTCTCATTAAAGAAGACAGATTTTATTTTCATCTGGGCTCGCGAATACGGGATTCTGATCCGAAATGAAAATGAAATGGGGGCTTAACCTACAGCGATTCTTCATCACAGGACCTAACCGATCCTTTTTTGTGACCCAACACAAATGCAGTAAAGGGTTAATAGTACTTTTCTTGGCAATCCTTAAGATGCACCGAGGCGAGTCACGCCATTATTGATGACGTTATAATATTTCATATATTCCCCCTTTTAGCTATGCATTTCTTCAAACTTTCTTACTAGAGTAGGAGAACATCTTAATTGACCTCAAAAACCAATTTATTGAAAACAGTATTATGAATAATTTATTTAATAATAATATATCGTTATAAAAGGCCAGGGGAAAACGTGCTGAATGCATTCTATACATATTTTAAATATTTCCTTTTATATTTTTTAAAAGAAAAATCAATAATCGATATTTCAATATTATTAGGTATCGATTATCAACATCGAACCGCATTCTTGACATTTTTCTTACATCTCATAACATCATCATAGTTAAAACACTTTTCAGATGGTAATATATCCGTATTAATTTGACTTAATATTGATTTAAATCCGATCTTTGGAATAAAGCCTGCGGGACTGGCTAAAGATAGTTGGCCCCGTTATAAGAGGAGGCATGCACACATTGATAATTCGTAAACCAACCTCCTTAGTCATATATTTTCATTTCGACCGAAATTAAGCACCGACTAGATAAATTACGCCATAGTTCATAAATGTACCTGGATAAACGAGGCACTGGGCCTTGAGAACATCGACTAATCATCAGTCGTGCAAATGGGTTGAATCAAAATACGAAATGTGTTAATTTTGGGACATTGGTAACTCATAACGCGCCTGCTTTTGTGGCAAATTACATCGTTCAACAAAGTTGTAATCGGCTTAAATTTTAAATGGACAAAAACTGAAATAAAATAGAATGCATTAAAGCAGCCGATCGTCAATTTCATTTTTTGTACAATATCTAATTTTTTAGGACTTGATCCATGTTAAAATGTTTATGCAACATTTAATCAAGAAAACATAATACAAAAACAAAATAAACTCAATGGTAAATAATCCCCCACCTTAAATTCAATCGGATTAAAATGAGGTTCATCAAGAGATTTTAGTGAAGATTGTATGTGCAAATACTAAACAAAATTGTACCATTTATGTACTGATATGCCGTTTAGAGTTTCAACCTGTAGTTTGCTAGGGATTAAAAATCTCCAAATTTAAGATAGCGATAATGGACACTATGATTATTAGTCAATATTCCGGAGACAATATTTCTCCTTATTTAGGTCCATACATGTATAGGATTAGTTCCTTTCAGGACGGTCTCTGATTGGACGATGTCCGCTGTCCGTCCATATATAGCTGCAATATGAAAATACCGCGCTTCCCCACCTCAGTTCTAAGGCTATTTTGGTGACTATTTCTTACCGTAAGAGACTAGTATATGATTAGCGTGGCGAGAGGCCAAAACGGTGGCAATGCTTCGCACGTTTGTTTGTTCGACGTTGTTTCGAAGAATATACACGCGTCTGACTTGTAATTGACAGTTAACATAGAGTTATGTCTGGATTTCAGACTTGAATCAGTTTACCGCCATGAGATTATGTCTCATTGACCAATGATAACAGCCCATATTGTTTTCTGATAGTGTCAATTTGGCACGAGCAGGAGACTAAACAATAAATTAGGTAGAAGCAGATCCTGGAAGGTATTTTTAACACCCTTAGGTTAATAAAGGACACTAGAAGGTTTTTTTTTAGGATGGGACAAGGGATGAATCAGCCCTTGGGGTAAATGTATCACAAATACTGGAATATTTATATTATTTCTGTATTTAAGAAAGTAAGCCATGATGTTTCAATAATCGCAGTTTTGTAAATACTCCTGAAATATAAATGCAAGTATATAAAAATTACATTATTTATTTTAAGGAAACTGTCAAAATTCCAAATAATGGAGCTTGTCATATAAAATATATCTGGCAAGAAGAAAATATGATACTTACAACTCATAAAATTATATATAGCTGGATTAATGGCACTATTAAAATAACATAGCCAATGGGCTGTCAGAACTATTAACTTAAAGGCATCGTGTGATATAGTAATCCTCACCCCCGTACACCTGAAATAGTGAAGAAAAATTACAATTATAACCCTATGTTTTATTTTTCTAAGATAGAATACTGTGGAGTATACTGTGGACCCGAAAGCAAGAATCGCGTAGTCATTTTGGAATTGTTTCACGTCAATTGCACATTAATTGGTACAGCCTTAGGTTTGTTGTCGAAGTGCAAAAGGTGAGCAATAACAACAAATATAACACCATGTGTAGCGCTGGGGGGGGGGGGGCAGTTCCCAGTCCTAAAAGCATCAATTGGATTAAACAACAGTTCCATTACATTCCGATCTGATTGTTTGTAGTGCGACTTTTGATCCGTTGATGTCAGACATCCAAATAACCAATCGGCTTCAGTGTTGCTTCTCGAAAATACAACTTTTCTTTTATATCGCTGCAAATCGCTACCCAAAGTTCTACGCGATAGTCCCCTCACATCACACAATGTGGGTTAGCTTTTTCCAGGTATTTAGATAAAACACATTCTTAAACTCGTTTTTTGTACTGCTTATCAGTTATACTGTGCCATTTGAACTTATATGCCATAAAGGATGAATTCACCTAATTAAAACAATTATTGCCAACTACAATGACGGGTGAGAGAGGATACATCCCTCGGCCTCATTTTTTCTAACCTTCGTCTGGCCCCTTTCAGTCTCTAGAGCAGAACCTGAAAACTGTTCAATATTATTGCACGAAAATTCTTTACACTGATCAGTCGCATTCTAAAGTGGTGACCTTTGCTATTAAGAGTCTTTGACTTTTTTATTTGCTTCTGCATAAATTAGACTGATCATTCAATAAAATGAAATGGGTTTAACGTCCTAATGTTCTGCTCCAAACCGGGCTAATGAAGACGGGCATCCGCCATACACTGTGTTTTGAGGGAAAAATTTTGCCCGGACAGCGGCACTACGGCCTACTCTTATGTCAAGAGATCTTTTACGTGCATGCCAATGTCTACAAGGGACCTCGGTTTTTCATCCCATCAGGCCCTCCGTCCTGCATCACTGACAAGGGGGAACCACTACGGAAAATCTGGATGAACTTTCTCTGCCTAATTATAAAAAAAAATGATATTAAACAAAAAGAGCTTTGTCGTCAGCACCAAGCGGGATTATGAGGACGAAACTACGCAATCCCACACGCTCTTTCGCCACAAGACTAGACTGACACTTGTTTCCCACAGGAAGATCCAATCCTTAGAAAAGCTGGCATCGAGGTTGATATAACATAAAAGAAATACAATCGGCTTCGAAGAATGTCGAAGCAGAAATTTATGGGAGGCGAGTGGAGGGCATCTTCGGGTGAATCTTGTTTTAATAGTACCTGTGGAGTCTTCACATAATATGTCACAGGTAACTAGAAGCATTATACTTTTATAAGGTGCTTGTGGCGTACCCACAAAATTAATTATCGCGATTTCAGAATCAGTCCATAAAAGTTTTCTAACCCATGTGGTCTTTATTAATATCTGTTAATGGCGTTGCGTTCAGATCTAATCAAATCATTTAACATTAAGAATAAATCAAATACTGACATACCTCGTATATCGCATGACAAGAGGCACTGCGGATATCGTTAAATAACTTTATGATTTTATGTGATTTGACTCGCCTGTTAAATGATACACGTTAAGATTAAATTGCGCAGATACTTCAGCCTTCATTGTTAGATGGGATACACAACCACGAGCAAGTATCTTATTGATAAACTATTTCATTGTGAAGCAAACATCTGTTGTTTGCTGTAACTCTTCCCGCGGTTGCGTGATATGGTCGTATATACGCCTACTAGTAGCTGCTAAATAAATAAATAAATACATTCTTCAACGTTACTAATTGATTTTAATTATTTAACTTCTTCTAAAATGGTATGCTGATGTCATCATTTAACGTTATAATATGACGCGATGACGTCATGGGGTTAATTTATGATAATTTCTGACTAGATATTCTGACACGTAGAAGTTATAAGGCTCCAAAGGTACATTTGGCGGCCATTTTGAATTTATGCAAATAAAGCCCTTTCTCCGGTCCGAAAATTAGAGAACTTTGGACATGTTTTAGAGGATGATCCCATTCACACAATGGTACCAAGCAAGAAACCTTCTGTTGCAATTTGTTCCATGTTGCCCTAAATTTACTGTAGATTGACTGGATTATTAGGATTTCATGAATCGTTAACGTAGTTACGATGTTAAAAATCGTTCAAGAACAGAAATCCAGTTTATAAAATGAAAAATATCTTCTACTACGTGAAAAATCAACACCAATTAAATACCTTGCGTATACTATGACGAAAGCACGAAATAAGCCGGAGAATCAGACGTTTGAATTATTTTGAACTATTTTAAATAGTTCTGAACTGTCTTGCTTCTTCTATTCGATAATAAATTTAATTTAGGTGAAAATAACGTATTGAATTTGGTTGATGTCGATGAGCGGTAGGTAGTGTTGAAACTCTGGGCATATTTTAGTATTCGGCTATCCGTCTATGCTATTTGAACATATTGGTACTATTCGTCAGTATTTTAAAACTTAGTTTTGACGTTTTAAGTGCATGCAAATTCGTCTATTGTACGGAGTGTGGTACGTGTAAAGGCTACTAAACCATAAGGTAGATGATTTAAATTATCAGACATATTTTTGGCAATGCTAATGTTCTTAATACATTGTCACTAATAACTTAATGCGGGACTATCAAACGATCACGTACGCCATTGTCTTAAAAAATAACTATGGCCGCGTGCGGAGAGAGAGAGAGAAGGCTTTTATAGCAAGAACAGTTTACTAATATTGTCTAAAAGAAAGATGATATCATGAACTGTCTAAAACTTTATTTATCTGAACCAATTTATTTGAAATAATCAATCCTTATATATTTCGATGAAAACAAACCGTGAGCGACTCAGAAAATGCCGACATTGTAAATACAGGGGTCGGTTTAAAATAATCAAACTGTCGAGAGGAAAACTATACCACAAAAAGTTTTATATAACAAACTGTAATAAATATATATGAAGAAAACACATGAACTGTTTAAACAAGTTTTGGTTGATTACTGGCACAAACTAGCTACAGCATTTTATTATTTTTTCAATCCTTGCGTAAGAATATTAGATGGTCGACTGTGTCGGGGTCCAGAGTTGGCGGTAACTGTATTTCCCTCGGCGGACAACACACCCTCCGATGGTACCGAAGTGGCTGGAATACCAAGATAAGACTTTGCCAGTTTGGCCAGTCATGGATATCTAAATTCACACGATTTCCACCATTCTTGGGGCTAGTGCCATATAAAACCCCGTAAGATTTAAAGACTTCTATTTCTCTCTGGACGATGCTGGGATATGTCAGCGTGTCACGGTGATCACAGCTGTATTCTCCAACCAGAAAATCCAAAGCTGTTTTTTTACTGGCGGAGGGAGTGTATCGGGATCTGGTTCAATGTTGTTTGAAACCAGTCCTTCTTTTGCCATAGTCAATATATTAAGAAAGCGAAGGTGTTTTTATCTTAGATCCAAATTCGATGCGATAATGTGAGTTGTAGAACATAAGGTGTTGTCATCCAATGACAGGTAACGCTTTGTTAAGTCAGAAGATAAGGTGTTTTTCAGTCTGCTCATATCAGGGCTGTCGGCATCGGAGCTTTTTAGGTGCTTATTAATGAGACCAAATACAATTGGGTAGACCATGCTGATTGTGGGATACTCAACAACACTTATTACTCCCGTAGCCATTTCTAAGAGCTTCAAAACGGAAACGGCATCTTCCATAATTCACCAATCTTTGTCCGACAGCTTGAGAATCCTGACATCTGATGGCTTCACAATACAACTATCGTGAATTACAGCCATTATCGGTAAACGTTGCTCTATAAGCCTCTCAACCATATGACGAATTTCAGCTAGTTGGTACATCTTGTATTAAACTTCGTGATTGCTCCCCAAGTTGTTCCGTCTTTACCTTAAGTGCGTTACTTGCAACAGTCGAGCAATATAAGTAGATGACTACCTTTCTACCAGCACCTGCTGCTCTGCTTATGAACGGCAGACCGAGTCCAGCTTTAACAGATAGCTGTAAGGTATGTCGTAGCCATTTCTAAGGGCTTCAAAACGGAAACGCCATCTTCCATAATTCACCAATCTTTGTCCGACAGCTCGAGAATCCTGGCATCTGATGGCTTCACAATACAACTATCGTGAATTCCAGTCATTATCGGTAAACGCTGCTCTATAAGTCTCTCAACCATATGTCGAATTCCAGCTAGTTGGTACATCTTGTATTAAACGTCGTGATTGCTCCCCAAGTTGTTCCTGCTTTACCTTAAGTTCGTTACTTGAAACAGTCGAGCAATATAAGTAGATGACTGTCTTTCTACCAGCACCTGCTGCTCTGCTTATGAACGGCAGACCGAGTCCAGCTTTAACAGATAGCTGTAAGGTATGTCGTAGCCATTTCTAAGAGCTTCAAAACGGAAACGCCATCTTCCATAATTCACCAATCTTTGTCCGACAGCTCGAGAATCCTGGCATCTGATGGCTTCACAATACAACTATCGTGAATTACAGTTATTATTGGTAAACGCTGCTCTATAAGCCTCTCAACCATATGTCGAACTCCAGCTAGTTCGTACATCTTGTATTAAACGTCGTGATTGCTCCCCAATTTGTTCCTGCTTTACCTTAAGTTCGTTACTTGCAACAGTCGAGCAATATAAGTAGATGACTACCTTTCTACCAGCACCTGCTGCTCTGCTTATGAACGGCAGACCGAGTCCTGCTTTAACAGATAGCTGTAAGGTATGTTCAAAGCAGCGGTTATGATCCCACCCCAGGTTTTTAACACAGACGTCCATGTTTAAAGCATTGTCGGTGGTTATGCCAATTATTGGCACATGTGATATGTTAAAATCTTGAATATTATCTCGCGAATATGGTGCAATGTAGTTTCGTGTGTAGCTAAAACATTATTGCATGGCTTCCAGTTGGCGTCAACGTAGTGGACCGTTAGGGTTGTGTATGCATTGCATGCAATGCTAGTCCATGTGTTCGTTTTCAAAGCTAAGCTTTTCTGTAATGTTAAGGTTTCAGTCAGGTCCTGTTTTTCCGGGGTGTACATTTTGTCGATGTAATTCTTGACAGTTGTGTGTGATGGTACTTTATAGCGAGGGTTGATTCTATTCACCATGTCAATGAACCAGGCTCCATTTACCATGCTGAGTGGCCTCATATCAATGGCACAAAATTAAGCTATCTTGCCTGTGATATTTTTCCATTGGGTTTAAAAGGCGATATTTCTGACTGACGAATGGTTGATTTCGACTGCGAATCATTGACATCGGCAGAACCTGTAGTAGGCCTAGAACGCGTTGACGTGCTATTACAAGTTACATCAACGCCACTTATTAAATCAATTCTGGTATGTTTAAATTTCAAGTGATGTAGAAACTTTGTAAGTATCCCTCACTTCAACCAAAACGCCGGTAATATATATATATAACAATTTTTCCAGATCCTAGTGTAGTAAAGACAAGTAAAACGAAATTTTGAACTATAAAAATAGAAACGAAATAAGATCTGTGTTTTAATCAGATTGAATTCAATGTTTGTTGTATTATATGGTTTCGTTATATTGATTATATGGATGTGATATCCTATACTAAGTATATATATATATAAACAAGTAGATAAAAATATCATACTTACTTTAAAATAAACAACATATATACAGGTAAATAACAGATAGCAAATATCATCACCACCACAATTAACATCTTAGCTTTCTTTCTTCGTAACATAAGCTGAGCTCTAGGCACACTAGCAGCAGCTGAAATAAAACATTACGAGGGGAATATTATAATCTGGGTTGGATATGGTTATAAGTGGGAAGTTAAAACCTACGTCATTTCATTTCAGCAATGGTCCTCCGCACTTTATTGTATCAGTGGGCCGGCATGCTTTTACAGCTAGGTTAGATTTTCGTGAATGCAGCATAAATTTACCAACCACAATTGATTTAATTAAATAGGCGCAGATGGCATTGCTATCAGATCTCTGACACTGGTGTATAGGGGACTGAATATTGCGTTTCAAATGATCAACCAATCAGATTGCAGTAAGTGAAGGCTAGACACTCAAGTGCGAATTTAGTTGAAAATCATTGATATTTGACATTTATAATGAAAAATATCACGTTTGCACCTCCATTTTAAAAATATCTGGTATCTGCCCCTGACGTTTCAAAGGATCGGCCAATCAGATTGCAGTGGACCAGCATAACGTTGATATTCGGACTTAGACCAGTCAATATAATTCTGAAAGTTTATATACCAATTTTTAACATACTCAACTCAATAGAATAGTCTAAAACGCGCAAAAGCTCTGCCAATCAGTCAAGTGGTGTGGTCTCGATCCAAAGCTTGTACGTTATATGTAAGTCCCGAAATGACCCAATGAAGGTTAAACCCCAGTTTTCTCTCTCTCTAATGCCATTCTGATTAGTTGTTAACAATTTACGAAAAGGAGACAACATAAGTTAGACAGTACGTCATGTACTAAGAATTCTGTATTAAAGTGACAGTCTATTTGGCCTGTATTTAGACAGTGTTTAAATACAATACCACATAATTAGTCAGAAATATCAAAATCTGTTTCAAACACATTGGCGTGCACGTATAAGATCCCTTGGCAGTTGGAATTTTATATAAGAGTAGGCCGTGGTGCCACTGTCAAGGAAACAATTCCCTCATAGTACACTGTATGGCGGATGCCCATCTTCATTAGACCAGTCGGGCGTTAAATCCATTTCATTTCATTTATCTAGTTCAAATAAACATTATACTAATTCCTAATAAGATCTGTGAATAGAGATGCCAATTAAAGTCAGTGATCGTTATTTGAGTCTGGACTTTGCAGTCGTATAAGGGAAATATTGGTTGAACAGCGTGGATTAAGCCGTGAAAAATTATCACAATTTTCATCTGACCTTAAAACATTTTGCTTGGATTGGTGTTCCTTATGTTACAAGCTTTCTAAAACTGTATAGTTTGTTTAGTAGGGAGGACCTACTCTGAGGTCCAGAATAATCAATTACATACGCCCCATTGTATTGTTTATGGAGTGGAGGGTCGGATAAGATGTGTCATATTTAGCATTATCATTAACATCATTTTCAGCATGAATTTTTTAGTTTTATTCAAGTTCAGTGACCCGGAAAACCTTATAAAAGAGATATTATAAGCTATATAAAACAGAAAATTGACGATTTTCTAAAAAATCATTCATGTTATGGAAATTCTGGCCGCCATTTTGAATTTTCGCCATATTGGATTTTTCAAACTTTTTGTTTAGATTAAACATACATGCAAGAGCTAAATCTGCCTTGAAATGTTTTCTAAATTATTAATTCGACATTAAATAACTGATCCAGGCCATAATCAACTCTCGATGGCATCGGATTTTTCCGATATTAAATAGATTAGAACGGTTCAGCCATATTTTGATTTAATCTAAAAATGGAGGAGCGAGGTTTAGCTTCGAACAACCAGTACAGTGGTTGAAATTATTGCACGCGTCTTGTCAAACCTTCAAAGGCTAATATCTTCATTCGTAATTGAATGAAATTGTCAAATTATTCATTTTACATTATCTATTTTTGAACTATTGTAGCTCAGCAGCACTGAGTACTCTTTCAATTGGATAGTACATGTCATATCAAACAATGAAATGACTATTATCTGACAAATTGGCCATTTTAGGAAATTTGGTCGCCATTTTGAATTTCTATTAAATCACTTTAGATGACCAAATAGATAATTTGGATTATATGGGTCTGAACACGATTTGTTAGTAAACTTATGAACAGACATGAAAAAAAAATCGAAAATGTTGCTTTTTTCAGATTAATCTTTTATTTTAAAACTGATAGTATTGATTAAACAACATATATCATATACCAGCAGATGCAGAATTATAGTCTGAACATTTTTTAAAGATGGCCGCCAAACTGACATTTGGCAAAGTGACCCGGAAGTCCATCAACCAATTTTGGACACTTTAGACCCAAGGCTAACTGAAAATCATAGTTTTTTCCAATTCATCAAATTGGTCATGAATATCTGCCTGCGACATGGACTAATCCTTTAATATTTTTTGTTAGAACACTACTTTTTCCCATTGTATATGTTGTGAATAGGATTTATAATGATATGCTCTAGAAATGCAAATTTGTTTGGTGTAAAGCCTCTAGTTGCTGCTTTGCGTTCTTTTAGACTGATTATTGGCGGCAAATTTCCCCTATATACATAGATTTACAATTACATTAGATTTGGTACACTATAATGTTCTACCATTTGCATTGATTGGTGATGTTAACGATACTCCACTACTGAATTTTACATGTATGTTTTAATTCAAATAATAATCTTGTGATCGTGTAACTTGTAGGGCCTGCAAATGGAATGGTGATATGGACTGGGGAGTTTCTTTAATCTTAACACCCAGGCTTTATTTACTCGGGTCAACAGTGCTACTGATTATTTTATTAGCAATATATTTTCAGTGTTTACATGTCAAATCTCCCGCATCCAGTTATTGCCAAATTTCCAGTATTCTTTAAATATACGTTTTGTGTCTACGATACGCCTTTTGTTATTTTCAGGTACCGGGGTGGTATCAGAATCATTTGTAAGAGGAGCTTACATCAGACAGGTCGTTCACCTTAGACTATTTTGCCGGCGGTAATGAAAAATATATATTTAGTTTTTCGTACGTCACAGTATCGATTTCACCTGATTTATTTCAAGGTTCCTTGAAGGTGGCTTTAGTTTCTGGGCTGGATTCTTTTGTAACGGGTTATAGGCTGTCGAGTCTGATAACGTTTGGTTCACCATTTCTCCTAGCTGGGCTGTATCAATTGTAACTGTAATTTTGATTTGATCAGCTGGCACAATAGCTATATCGTTATTCTCTTTTAACTCATTAAACGGGGGTGAGTGGCCGAATGGTTATTGCGTGTGCGTTGGACCACAAGGTCTGCCATTGAGCCAAGGGGTGTTGTTTCCATTCCCCGCTTGTACGTGACAAGGAGTGGGGGCGCCTGTCCAATTGCTAAAGACCCCTATACGCAAGCAAATTATTTAAATAAAACTGAACCATATGTTAATGTTAGTCTCGAACTGACGTAGTTTATGTCGAGTGGACTTTGCCCCCCCCCCCCCCCTACACTCATAAATAACCTTAATTTTATTTTGTTTAGATTTGGATTATGATTAATAAGTTTTTATACGCCCACATTTTCATGTGGGCGTATATTGTCGTCGCCCCTGTCCGTCCACAATTTGTTTGTGGTCACAATTCTTATCCGATTTTGACGAAACTTGAAATATAGGTTTATCGGATCGAAACTTCATGGATTATGGCTCCTGTTGTACGAACAAGCGGTTGCCATGCAAGATACGCCCACATTTTGCAAGAGATGGACAGAGAACAAGCTAAAAAAAGAAGTGATTTTTCGTACAATCAAGGGCCATAATTCAGGAAGTTACAATCCGATATGCATGAATATTGAAAGGAACCAAGATCTTTGGGTTATAAAAATGCATTTCAAGTTTCATCAAAATCGGATCAAAATTGTGTCCTCTCTCTAGAGGGTCCAAAACCTTGATATACCACATGTACAATATTTGCGTACGATGGGCAGCCATTTTGTCCGGTAGTTTTGGTCCGATTTGTACGAAATTCAGACTCAACGATCATAAGGGTGTAACAGTGATATATTTAAACGTTTTTTTAAATCGGATAAAAATTGTGACATCTAGAGGGATCACATCCTAAAGACGCGACTTTTCGTACAATCAAGGGCCATAATTCAAGAAGTTATGATCCAATATCGAAAGGAACCAAGATCTTTGGGTTATAAATATGTATTTCAAGTTTCATCAAAATCGGATCAAAATTGTGACCTCTATAGGGTCCACAACCTTGATATACCATATTTTTACGCAATTTGAGAACGAACGATGGCCATTTTGTCTGTCAATTTTGGGCCGATTTTCATGAAATTCGAACTCAGCCGTCCTTAGGCTGTAACGGTGATAAAATAATACGTTTTTTTAAATCGGATAAAAATTATGACCTCTATAGGGTCCACAAGCTAAAAACGCGATTTTTTGTACAATCAGGGGCCATAATTCAGGAAGTTACGGTCCGATATGCGCGAATATCGAAAGGAACCGAGATCCTTGGGTTATAAACTTACATTTCAAGTTTCAACAAAACCGGATAAAAATTGTGACCTCTATAGGGTCCACAACCTTGATATACCATATTTTTACGCTATTAGAGAACGAACGGCAGCCATTTTGTCTGTCAATTTTGGGCCGATTTTCACGAAATTCTAACTCAGTCATCCTTAGGGTGTATCGGTGATATAATAATACGATTTTTTAAATCGGATAAAAATTATGACTTCTATAGGGTCCACAAGCTAAAAACGCGATTTTTCTTACAATCAGGGGCCATAATTCAGAAATGTTACGGTCCGATATGCGCGAGTATCGACAGGAACTGAGATCTTTGGGTTATTAACTTACATTTCAAGTTTCAACAAAATCGGATAAAAATTGTGACCTCTATAGGGTCCACAACCTTGATATACCATATTTTTACGCTATTTGAGAACGAACGACGGCCATTTTGTCTGTCAATTTTGGGCCGATTTTCACGAAATTCGAACTCAGACGTCCTTAGGGTGCAACGGTGATATAATAATACGGTTTTTTAAATCGGATAAAAATTATAACTTCTATAGGGTCCACAAGCTAAAAA